GAAACAAGCTTCTCTGCAGCACTTCCAGTTTTCTCTCTTTTCCTGAACACACTCTCTGGTTTGGTATGTTTTCATCTTTGGCAATTACTCCCAGTGACAGTCTATTTTATTATTGGAACTGCATTTTCTTATTGTGTTAATGCTTAAATGAAATGAAAGTTACAAGCTGTCCCAAGGTTACAGAGGAGGGGTACACCGCTCGGGCCTTGTGGCTGATGCGACACAGGCGGGAGTTTGTGAAAATAAAAACATGAAGACAGTCTCGCTGGACAGAGCACTGCAGAAAACCAAGACAGTTTAGGTTTGTTGTTGCATTAACAGCTGTTATTGATTTCATCAGACAAATGATCGCTTCCTTGCTCAAATCTTTTTTTGTATTTTAACATACAGACTGTTTTTTTACATAAGCTTGCCTTTAAACGCGGCTCAGAGACAGCAAATCTCATCTATAGGAGAAGGCCGCAGATAGCAGCTGTGGTGGTGCAGGTACATCTTCCAGATGAATTTTAAAAAATTCACTTTTAGGCAGGATTTTAAATGTTTTGATTTACATCAAGTTTGTGTAATGATTTTTTTTCCCAGTGAAATTAAGGTAGTGCTTCAAAATAAGTGCCTGTGGGCGTGTCTCCTGAAACACCACAGGCTTGTTTGTGCTGTCGAGTGGTGAGTCTGGACTCTAAAAGCTATTTCTGGATTATGAGTTTCAGTTTTCTGCCACAGTTTGTTTACATTTAGGAAAATACATCTTTTAGCTTTAGACTAAGATTGCTATATTGTTTCAGATCCACACTTTCAGCAACATTAACCAAGTCTGCACCTGTCGGGCAGAAGGCTTATAGCTCGCTGTTGTTTCCAGTGACTCCCAGCAGTCCCAGTTTCATTTTGTCATTGAGCTGCTCTTCCATACTGAGGTCCAAAGCTACATTGGGCAAGTGCAGGGCCAGCATGCTTACCTTTCCCTCCTTTCTGAGGACGTACCTGTGGAAGGAAAGTAGAGTCACAGACCATATTAGGAGTTTTAGCAGGTAAAGTGCTGTTTCAGTTGTGTTCTTCACCAACTGCTGTCCGTACAATCTAACACAGGCTGAAAACAACGTTTCTTTGATTGCATAAGAAGTGTCACAGAGTGGGTTCACTGACAGTGTTGACCCTGCCTTAGTGAGGGTCATCCCTGCATGCGAGGTAGCACAGGTGACAGACAGCGTCAGACGTGACTGCATGCATATACATGAAATATGCATGCGCCACTTTGTTTTTAAATGAACCTCCTTACAACAGGTTGTTTCCTAGATCGTACATGTTCGTTCATTGTTGAAAGTATTGAATTTATTGCCCAGTGTCAAACATTCGATCGTCTTGTTCTCCGTCCAGAGTCGGCCACCCTACACAGCGCACATCTGGTC